TAATATCCTATTCCTAAATGTCCCACATACCAATATGGACATTACATTGCAAACCAAGAATAAACACAGATTGACAAGCTCTGTTAACAAGACCAATGTCAAAGACACAATATTCTGGAGTAAAATGACTATAAGTGATAATCTCACAGCTCATTCAATATACACTTCAAAAAGGCTAAAAAACAAAGAGTCTTGATTGTGGAGGAGATGAGGCAAACTGTGTGTTGTTTAGTCCATGTCCCGCATCATCTTTATGCACCATAATGTAAGTGTTGTGGTTTCCAAAATAAATTTGCAGAAACTTTGGCAGCCTCATTGCATTATGGGTATTCATAATGGTGGCTCAATACACCATTTTACAGTTCCAAGCGACATCTTGAGCCTGCAGTGATAGATACCTTTTGCTCACACCTTTAGAAGACAATTATTCACAGGTATCCATCATTGCAAACTCAACTTTTGTCTCGCTTTGATGCAAATGCTTGGCTACCTGTCAAGATGGCACTTGGAACAATAAAGTATTTTTCATAAAATTTATAAATTGATAACAAACGTCTTTAAATGTTTAATATTTAATTCATGCACAATTCCATAAGGTCAGTGAACATTTAACACATGTCATGCTCACTTGAATATTACTTACTTTTGATAAATAGTCTCCRTCATTTTGTCCTTGTAAAACATCAACTGGCTTATTTTCATACACTTTGTAAATTTCCAGGTATTTGCCTGCTTCTTCTGAGCTATAAACAGTGAACATGTCCTTTTAGTAACTGCTATTCACAAGGATGAAATAGAAAATTTGCACTATATGGAAATACATGTAACATTTTATATACCTCCAAGACAGCATCAGTGTCAGATCAGCAAGAATGGCCATCTTTGCTAGCTCTCTCAATGTTTGGTGTGGATCTTTCTGAAAATGACATGAAGGGTCAGAAAATTGGTTTCAAAACCTCATACTCGTATTCAATGTGGGATGACAAGAGTGCTTTGTAAAGTGATTCACGCATGATTAGTTTGCCCCATCTATCTCCAAACTTATTTTTACGGCAATTTCTCCAAAAGTTTTAACAGATTTGAGTTTCAAATTAGTGTTGGAGTTTTTAAAGCCGTTTATAACACTCAAGATTGGTAGAAGATCTAAGCTTGATATCTTACCACATCAACTAAGACAAGAAGAATTCTCAATTCATATGATTTTCCCAGCTGCTTTAACCTTTCATGAATGTAGTTGGGATTGAAGTGATGATACCGCAGACTAAATACAAAACARACAAACTGATAAATTTACCTATAGAAATACAACTACAATATAAACATAATATATAACATTAATCAGATAATAAAACAATTATCAGTTGATGGGCAGGCCCAGTTATATCCAACAACCTTTTTCAATCATTTTGTTTTATTTAAAAAAATATTKTTTTAATACAGAAGATTGTACATACAAAAGTTCTCGTATACAGGTGACCTTTTAACAATTTGGTTGAAAATGGTGCTGACACTATGRAGTCTTGGTAAGYCTGATTAGGCTTGAYTTAATGATACCTTACACTGYTACATAAATTACCTKAGGAATAGAGCACATGTTGTGACACCCATGACGTAATCAGGTACAATATCACTGAACTCCCAGGGAACACAACGAATAAACTTCAGTACTGGGTTTGCTTTCTATGGAAGAAAAGAAAATAGACATTAATTCAGTACCATACGTAGTCTTTCTTTAACTACTAGAGTAGGGAAAAAGGGAGAATAACTTATTAGGAAAAGGCAAATAGATGGAGACAATAAGAAAACAAGGGTTATTCCTTTGTTTGCTCTTAGAATTTTTAACTCTTTAGAGTGTTTCCTTTAATATTAAGGCAAACTCTCATTATATGTTCAGTTCAGCTGCATTACAGACTGACTGTGACTATACGGGACTAGTGTGTCTACTGACTTTGCAGTAGTGCATTGACAGTTATTTCTGCCTAGATCATTCACTTGTGTTTGTAAGCAGTCTTGACCTAGGATGTTGTCTTGTGAACTCAAGTGATTTTGTCTAGATAAGATACATTGTATATTAAATAGCTGAAATGCACAAGCAAGAATRAAATGTCATACAACCTGTTTCTAGTCAATATATGGAACTGTAACATAATACTTTGCATGACTACAACCTCTGATACATGTATAGCTCTACACCACTACCAAAAACTTGAAAATATCTCAAGATTAGAATAAAAGTGATCTCTAAACAACATACCTGTCTGGGGTTCACTTGGATTGCATTTGGCTTGGGTTTACTGGGAATGGAGACTTTACACTGCACTGGTTTAGCAGACCTACAAAGTAATGTTATACACAGGATTCACTTCCATTCATTATCTACTAAATGCATTATCAGAATGCTGCAGTGAAAATCATACACATGTTGGACAGGTCAATGTGCTATGACCTACATTTAATTTGGCAACAACAAAGGTATTATTTGTATATTTTTTCAAGCGCATTTGTAGTCACCAGCAGATGCTGGTGATAGTTTGCTGCAGTCAAGTCCCTGTCACTGATAAGCCATATTAAAATGAGCTATTATTCCAAARAATTGTTTCACCATTGGCTTCAGCAGCTTTATGGAACTCAGTCTAACTCAGGTTAACAATTGTAACACAAGATAGAGCACATTTCATATGACTATGCAAAAAACACRATACTTTYGCGCCGTGGTCRTTTCGTGCTATATCGGTGATGTATTGTTAAATCTTTATTTTTATTTGGAATCCTAGAAGGCGAGGTTCCGTGACCGTGCCATGTCCGTATTGTAATCCGTGCCATTCACAGTCATATGAGATCTGCTCTAACTCAGTTTAATTCAYGTTAACAATTTGTAACACAAGATAACTCAGTATAACCCAGGGTGACTCAGAGTAACGCCATGTAACAAATGGCAACCAAGGTGGGTTTCCACCTCAAGTGAGTTTATATCTCATGGTTTAACTGGGCTAGAACATAGAATGCCCATTCACTCAATACAACCCTCTCGCATACTGTGCCTACGACCAGCAGTCAAAGACTTCGGGACTAGCAACCATTGGTACACTAATAATCATGCCCCGGGGGGGTACTCTCATATATTTGCTATACGGGGACATGCCGCTGGCCAGGGTATGGTTTTTGGCCTTGCTGTCTTAAACAGGGTATACATGCCGGGAATCATGCCCATGATACTATGTCGTTTTCAAACAACCACGGGGACTAGCAACTGCGAGTACACTAATAATCATGCCTATCAATATGTGGACAGGTATTCTAGAGTCGCTCCTTTAACTACCAGTGATGATGAATAATAAATGGTGTACGTTTCGATGCTTACTCGATTTCCTTCATTTTAGCTTCTGCTTCTTCATAGTGTTTAGTATTTTTAAGAAAYGCAAAGTTGTCTTTGAAAGTTTTCCCAACATYGCCTGCCTCATTGTTATCAGTACTTGAAGAACTACATTTAAGATGCGCTTCCTTCAATGCGGCGCCATCACCGCGGCTTTCTGTTGCTATCTTGCTGGATGGAGACGTCTTGTTTTCTGCAGACTTTGTCGTAGTTTGAGACAAAGCTTTTAGCAACCTCTTCCTGGCTTCAGCGTCCGAATTCTTCTTAACTGATTTGAATGAATCAGAAGATGATTTGAAAAGCTTGAAAGTTTGACCAGAATTCGAACTGGCCGCTTCTTTCTCATCTAATTGTTCAACACTTGGAATGACAAATTTTCTCTTTTCTGCCGCCATATTTTTATTTCTTGTCAAGAGAGGGACTGGGCTTGAGGTAGTTACCGCTGTTTGTCCATAGTGCTGGCTCATAGGTATGGGGGACTTGCTGGATTTCTTGTTTTTGTTTTTTGTTTGTTGTTCTTATGCAGGTAATTCCTAAAATCTAGCTTTCCTTCAATATGATTTTGCAATTTATTTTTATGATAAGGTATTCCTATTTCAGTTTGTTCCGTTTTTTCGTAGATTTAGATCTATCTACATTTGTCTACCGAGCTTTTATTTTAAAATATTAAGTAACTTAAGTAGTTTAAGCTTATTATTGTTGATATTAAGACTTTATCATTTAGGAGGCAAAAATGTAAAAGTGAAGATTGTAGAAGAACCAGCGGTAGCTTATAAGGGGGTGTAAGTATGACTAGTACCAATCATTCACTTGCTGTAGAATCAATCACTAGCAGGGGGTGGTTCTAGGGATTCTGGAACCCCCCTTACTTTGAATCAATATGTGAGTCTTTATTTGGCAAATTCATTGGGTAACACACTTTCAGATACATGTAGTCCAACAATTTGTTCAGTGTGAATCTAATATAATAAAAACTTTTGTAATTTTTCAATCACCTTCTTCACAGTCTTGAAACTGCAAAACAAAGCTGACCCCCCCCCCTCCCCCCATAAAACACACATCTCTGCTGAACGACTATTATTTTTTTCATAATTCATTCAATCAATCTTTCATTTCCCAGTCTATTCGTTTCATGTGTTTATTCGTCTTGCACTTTTTAATCAATAAATAATCCATTTTTTTAGAAATTCTTTTTACCAACAGCAAAATCAGATAACTCATAGCATCAAGGTGAGCACAATGCTCTGTACATGCAGTTTGTTGTACTCAACTGTACATGCAGTTTGTTGTTTTCAAATCAAATGCAAGATTGGAATTCATGATCAATGTTAATAGAGTTATTTCTTTATCTAAGGATCTAGAGCCTCGCGTTGATCCAATCCCATTCTCAGGTAATCAGACAATTAATTTTCAGTCTAGAGATTAAAACTTAATATATATTTCACTACAATGAAGAAACTGATATTAATATTTGACATTAAAATGAATTCATATAGGTCCTCCACACTTATCTGTTTTGGATGGAAAATGCTTTCATCTTATTGAGAACAGGTCAGATATTTTATAACCAATAGCTATCAGACAATGTAAGCCMTTTTAGTAATCTCTTTTAAGGCCCGTCTTACACTTGCAATTTTGCAGCACGACAATCACCACTTTGCTATCGCACAACTCAAATCGTATATGTAATGTAACCAATTTTCAAGCATGTTCGAAACTCAGCGCGACGATCGCCATGAGAATCGCTCTGCAAAAATCACAAGTGTAAACGGGCCTTTACCCTATCTTAGCCTCAAAACCATATATTTATTATATTTTTTATAGTAGCAGTTCACGAGTGACAGTGAAAATAATTTGAATGTCTCATATTTCACACATAATTGAGGCTACAATTTAAAAAATATTTCAAAAATCAACTATTTAACAGGTACAGGTATTATACTAAAGTTTGTGTATCTACAATCATTCACTTATGCAATTATGGATAATACCATTATATAATCTAATAATTACCCTAGTATGTAGTCTTTCCTATATAATCAGTACATTACTATAATAAATTATTTTTTGTCTTTTAGTTATAAATATGAGCTATGTCCATTTCACAATGTTACTCAGAGGGAACAAACAATACGCTGGAATGCATTCTCTGGAATTCTTGGGTTTGTTCTGTTTTTTTTTATTTTACTTTTTGTTAGTTTTACTAATTTTATTGTCAAGAGTTTCTGGCTTGCATGCATGCAATAAGTTACTGTCATTGTCACAATCTGGCAAGCCCTTTTGGCAAATAAAAACGTTCATCGAAAACCTACATTGTAAATAGTCTATTGGTTTGATCTAGCAAACGAAAGCTTTGGCTGCATCAGTAAGATGATAATGATGATAGTGCAATCAGCATGATAACAGTAATATTACTTTAGGGTATACCAAGGCTGGGATATTGTTAACAAGGCATTTGCAAGTATGTTGATGGATGAAGGAGATTTCTGTCCTGGTAATATTCCAAGACAGACTAAGGTATTTATGGGTTTTATTGCTGTTTACTTAGCCCAAGAAACTGTAGTTGGAGCAAAAATAAAAACAATTACTATAGGACCTAGCCTTACGAACACACTGCTATTACAGACACCTCCATACSWCGGACACAAAATACTGAATCCCCAGCGAAAAATATAAAGAAATGACTCCCATTATTATGGACTCTCACTACTTCGGACACTAAATTACTGTCCCGAGGGTGTCCGTAATAGTTGACTGTCTTGAGTTGACTGTCTTGTTTTTTCACACTTTTAGTGTTTGAGCTCTGCTAACTATAAGTGGTGTACTAGCTATTTTCATTAAGTGTAATTTACTACTGCATATGGTATTTAGTGTTTAATTTTGTTATATCTAATTTTAACATTCTTTTTTTTGTTTCTATCAGGTGTTCTTCAAGTGTGGCAGTGAGCAAAAACTGGTTTCTGTWAGTGAGCCCTTAACATGTCGGTATGAAATGGACTTTAGGACTCCATTGGCATGTCCTCTGGATGCAATG